AGATTCATCCTGGAGAGGGTTAAACCGGGCTACTCCTTGGAGGCAAGGATTCTGAGGTTCTGTCTGACATATTTTGGACATGTTGTAAGGAGAAACTGGTCCGTGGAGAAGGACATCATGCTTGGGAGGGTGGAGGGAAGGCGCAGGAGAGGAAGGCCCTCTGTGAGATGGATTGATTTGGTGACTGGGGTAATCTGGATAAGTGTGTCAGAGACAGTGAGATTGGCACAGGACAGAACAGAGTGTAGGGCTGTTTTACAAAGGGTCGCTATCAGTCGCAAGCGACTCGACGACACATAACAACAACAACATAAACTAGATACTCATTTGCAGAATACAACATTCTTATGTTGTTGTTGTTGTTTTTAAGAAAAAACAGGCATTCATAAGTTTCTATCTTTTGGTGAAGAACTTGAGCTGTGCTTCTCAGATTCACCAAAGGTAGGATGTTCCTCACTTCTTGTTCTCAGTGGTGCCTTGTTGCATACAAGAAGCTCCTGGTACTCTTGGACTACGGAAATGAAAAAATGGGGCAACAACTCTGATTCAGCATTGCCCATACCCTACTTGAGCAAAGAACACAGTGTGGTTGCTGCTACATGTCCTAAGCAATCACTTGTTATGCATCAGAGAGTTGGACAATGAATAAGTAAGGAGGATAGAAGGAGACTTGATGCCTTTGAGCTGTGGTGCTGGAGAAGAGTATTGAGGGTACCATGGACTGCTAGGAAAACAAACAGATTCAACCTGGAAAGGGTCAAACCGGGCAGTTCCTTGGAGCCAAGGATTCTGAGGGTCCGTCTAACATACTTTGGATGTGTTATAAGGAGGGACCAGTCCTTGGAGAGGGACCTCATGCTTGGTAGGTTGGAGGGACAGCACAGGAGGGCAAGGCCCTCTCTGAGGTGGATTGATTCAGTGACTGGGGTAATTTGGATGGGTGTATCTGAGACGGTGCTATTGGCACAGGACAGAGCAGAGTTTAGGGCTGTTGTACATAGGATCTCTATGAGTTGCAAACGACTTGACGGCACATAACAACAACAACAACAACATTATTAAAAAAAGATATTAGCATATTTTCAAGATCCTCTTGTGGTATGGCAATAGCCTCACTGAGAAATAACTATGAATTCCTCTGAAAAATGTCCCATAAGTTGGAAACACAGACTAACTAGCTCTCTGGCACTCTTCATTGTTTAGAAAATTGGCTGTGATGGCATCATTGGGTCAGCTGCCAAGGAAGACCGATGTGGGGTCTGCAACGGGGACGGAAAGACCTGCCGAGTGGTCAAGGGGGACTTTAACCACACTCAGGGCTCTGGTGAGTACCAGCCAGTGTGGCTGGCCACGTTTTAGCACCCATCAGGTGCCGTCAGACCCTGTCCCTGGCTTCAGTGCTTTTGTCTACTCCCTGCATTTCCAATGAGAAAATATAGCAGATCTGTGACTCTTGAAAGACAATGAAAGACTTTTGAGCACAAGTTATATCTTTATTTTTAAGCTCTTTGAAGTAAGTAGCTTACCTGCAAAAGGAAGCACCTACCTGTGTTTAGTGGCTGGCTCCATAGTCTATAAATATGGCAGTAGTTGCCTGGCTACAAGTTCCTATGGTCTCCCAGCTTCACATTCATTATCTTCTGATGCACACCATGAAAAGTTGCAATGATCCTTCCACCAAATTAATTTTACTCTTTCAGATTTCTTAGTAAAAGCATGGCAGCATCTACTCATAACTATAAAACATGTATTGCTATGTATTCTGGAGAACTAACTCTGTTGTTCATGCCCACTGAAACTGAGTAATTGTCACTCTTGTTCTCACATGTAGAGATACCCCAGCCTAGTCTTCAGAGAGGATTTAAAAATGGAAATCGTGGACATTTTTCATCTTTCTGGTCACCTGTCCCAAGAATAGCAGCGTGTGATTTTCCAAGAATCTATCTGTGGTTGAGCCATAGTAAGGAGGGATTTTAGGTAGGCAGCTTCCCAGGAAAGGCTTCCATGCTCTGAAAACTGGTGAGTTTCCTCACTAGAACCTCAGAAGGAGGCTGTAGGCAAAAGCTTCCTCAACTCCCAGCTCTGTTTCTTTCTCATCCTGAGAGTAGCCCTGAGCCTTCTACTGCCAGCCCTCCTTAGGTAGATGAGTGGATTTTTGGAATATCTTACAAGAGAGTGGAAAGAGGAAAGCACAACTGGTGTTCTAGGTTGAGAACCTGAAATGACTAGAATTGGTATTAATCAGATCAGATTAATCAGATGTAATTTAAGGATCATTCCATTTTCTTTCTTTTTAAATATCAAAATAAGTGTCATTTCCCGTATTTTCATATGTCAGCTTTTGAAGTTTGGTCCTACCAGAAATTAAGTTCACGGTGTGACTGGGGAGTAAGACAGACTCACTCACTCTCACACACTCACTCACTCACTCACTAACTCATTCTAACATTCTCTCACTCCTTCACTTTCTCACTCACATGTGCTCAAACTCACTCTCTCGCTCACTGACTCACTTCTGCAGCCACTCTTTTACTCATCTACTCAATCTGTCACTCTCTCACTCATTAATGCACTCACTTTCTCACTCACTCACACACCCAATCCATGACTAACTCTTACTCACTCACTCACTCCCTCACTCTCACTAAATCACTTACTTTCATACTCCTCACTCTCACTCATGAACTCTTTCAGTCACTCTCTAATTCTCACTTTTTTTACTCTCATTCATTCACTAACTCTCATATACTCTCACTCTCTCTCAGTTCCCTGTCTCTTTCACTCACTCACAGATTCACTTACACTCGCTCTTTCACTCATTATCTCATTCACTTTCACTTTTCCACTCACTTTTTTATTTACTCAATTTCTTATTTATTCATTCACATACTCAATCACTGACTCACTCTTAGTCACACTCACTCACTCTCACTCACTCTTTCACTCCTTTACTCTCACTAAATCCCTCACTCTCACACTCTTTCACTCTCTTTCTCTCTTTTATTCACTCACTCTTTCACACTCTTTCTCTTTATAATTCTCTCAGTCTCTTACTCACTAAGTCAGTCTCTCCCTCCCTCACTTAGTCTTTCTCACTCTCTCATTAACACTCTCTAACTCGTTTACTCACTCACTCACTCACTCACTCTGACTGTTTTATTCACTCACTCTTTCACTCTCTCTTTCTCTATAATTCTTTCAGTCTCTCTTACTCTCTCCCTCTCTCAGTCTCTCTCATTTTCTCATTAACTCACCCTCTCTCACTGACTCATTCACTCACTCTCTCCCATTCTCTTTCACTCACTCACTGTTACTCTCTCATTCCATTTTACAGGCACACCCACCAGCTCTGTACTTTTCTCCTAAAAATAATGAATGCTGTTATAAACACACTGCATGTCATCTAAAAACAAGTCTATTGGGGAATTTTTACAGAAAAGTTGTATCACAGGAAACAACTCTGTCCTAGCTATACAAGACAAGTTTAAGATCTACCTGTCTTTCTCATAAGTTTCTTCTTAGCACTTATGACCAAGTCGACATATATCTAATAGCATATTCTACTAGAAAAATAACAGAAGCATAGAATTTGATCCATGGCTTCCTCATGAAACACAATAATTTCCATCTACCCAAATTTCTCCTGCTTGATGACAGAGTCTAGAATGGGGACTATTGCCAGGATAAGTCATTACCATTTTATAAATTCTAAGAGTAAATATCTTTCTTTAGTACTTTCTCATTTTAGTTTCCCAGTTGATGTAATGGTGTCTGGCATCCATAACAGAGAACATTTGTCCTAATAGGCATCATGGTGCTATGGGACTTTGTGATGGAATCCATACACTCTTCACAGTGACCCCTGGAGTGAGCTTTGATCTCTGGATCAGAGCAAGGGCCATTAGAAAGAGGATCAAACTAAAAAAACTCAAATTTATTATCATCAAGTCAGTGCTGATGCTCTAGCAGGTTATCAGGCCATAAATGGCACAAGAGATTACCCGTCTTTCTCTCTATAGTGGCTAGTGAATTTGAACCACCTTCCTTTGGGTTCACAGAGCAGCTGCTTACCCACTAGACAGCCAGAAAGAGGATAGCGAGAGAGTAGAAAGAGGATAGCAATTTAAAAGTTGTTTTATTGATTTATAAACAAAAGGTTTGAATGTTAATTCATGAGTATCCTCTTTTAATTTGTTCTCCCTATGTTGTGAGCAGAGATACAATTTTAAAGAAAAGTTTGGCAGATTCCATTTGCTCTGCCATGCTGCTCAGTCAGTCACATCATGATGAACGTTCTTAAAATTCTCTGTCTGCCTAGGCTTTGTCCGCTGTTCCGTAGCCTCCCCACCCAAGGGTACATGAGAGAGAGAGGGAAGGAAAAGGACTCTTCAGTGTTGCTACTTGCACACTTAGATTAAGTTTAAATTTAGATATGCTGACTGGTTGCACCTAGCTATGCCCTTCTGTAGAATGTTGTTGTTGTTGTTGTTGTTGTTGTT